CCAGCTCCTTAAGTGACAAATTGCATCAAATTTTAGGCCTTGTTGTGTATGTGGCAGAAGGCCCTGACTCTACTGCACTTGAAGCAGCAGTGCTGCCTCCCAGTAGCCACATATTTAGAGTAGCCATGTAAAACCCAGCTTGGGTCTCATCCCCAAGACCACCTGGTACACTGATGGTTCTGCCTGAGGCAACCCACCCACATAGATGGCATGGCTTTACAACCCACCAAGGACACACCGTGGTTAGACCAAGGAGAGAGGCAAAGTAGCCAATGGGCCAAGCTAAGAGCAGCATGGATGGTGCTTATGCATGAAAATAGACCAGTTGTCTTGTGTACTGACAGCTGGCAGTGTACAAAAAACTTGCTCTGTCTGTAGGGCTGGCAAAGCAAAGATTCATACATAGCCAGTCACCCCTTATGGGCAAACAACTGTGGGCCAACATCTGGGCTAGGACTTTAGGACAGGACATCACCATTTCTCATGTGTAGGTGCATAGCCCTCTCACTTCCCCAGGCAATGTCCAGGCCGACGAACTGACTTGGCTGTGTGCCCTCACCACCTGCCTTCCTTAGACTGAGGTGGCTCAGTGGTTATGCCGCAAGACAGGGCACAAAGGACAAAGAACTTTGTGGACCATTGCCAAGGGAGTGGGCAATCCCCATCACCATGTCTCAAATTAAAGAGTCCTGCAATGAAGATGAGGCAATCTACTTCTGTAGTGATACTGCCTTGAAAACCCAAGGAGGGGTCGCTATGAGTCAGGTCGGACTCAATGGCACATAACAACAACAACAAGAAGCAGCAATGACTGCCCCCAGTGTATGCCGGAAAGGAAAAAGCCCATTCCAAGGGAGATGGGGCATATGCCCATGGCTAATCCTATGTCCAGCAGTGGTAGATTGACTACATAGGACATGTGCCTTTGTCAGACGATTGCTGCTTTTCCCTGACCTGCATAGACACTGCCACTGGTCTTTTACAAGAGGATCCCTTCAAATAGGCTCCACGGGGATCCACCATCCGAGGCCTCACCTGGCTGTGCACCTCATATGGCATTCCCATGGACATCAACAGTGGCCAAGAAAGCCACTTCACTGGCCACGAAGTACAAGATTGGGCAGATGCCAGTAATATTACTTGGCACTTCCACCCGCCCTATAATCCCACTGTGGCAGGCCTCATTGAGAGAATGAGTGGACTGCTAAAACAAGATCTATGAAATGAGATCCACTCTTTGCAGGAATGGACCCAACGACTACCAGAAGCTATATGGCAAATCAACAAGTACAAGAGACAAGGAGTATCCCAGTGTCTACCACCTGCTGACCCAAGGACTGCAGCAAATGAACACAAGTTACAGCTACAGAAAATAACAATCTTTTGCCTGCTGTTGGCCACAAAAACTACATCCTCTTGCCTTTGCTATAGGACCTAGACCCAGGGGACCATGTGATTAAACTTCCCTGGAAATGTCAAACAGGACCTCAGTGGTTTGGATCTTCTTCTTCCTGGAAACTAACAGTTTAAAATAGTGTGTTTTAACTGTAACACCTTGGCTACACCCCAAACCCCATATATCCTTAGAATTTATAATCCAGGACCCACTTGTTTAACAAAAGGGAATTATATTTTGAGCATTTGCAACCTCCCTTATTCTCACCCTAGATTACATGTTGTTTGCCATCTAATCGGATCGACTCATAGCGACCCCTCCTTGGGTTTCCGAGGCGGTATCACTACGGAAGTAGATTGCCCAACCTTCCTTCTGAGGAGTGGCTGGTGGGTTTGAACCGCCAGCCCTCTGCTTAGCAGTCAAATGCCTTAGGCACTATGCTACCAGAGCTCCTAGAGTGTGGGCCTGGGCGTGCCTCGCACAGGGTGTGGGGGAAGCTGCGCGTTGGCGTGCCAGAGGCGGCGTCAATGGGTGTGGTGGCCCAGCGCCACAGTGTGCATGCGCAGGGCAGACCCACCACGGTGGCCCTCCCTAAAGTAGAGGGCCCTGTGGGTCAACAAGTTTGGTACTGTAAGCCCAGACTGATACCATTAGCAGGAATAATTTTAACTCCCTCTTATACCACTGCTTGTGTTTTGTTAAACAATCATGATTTATCTATCCTAGTGCTTTTAAAATCTCTTTCTTGTCCTTAGCATTTCAGGTAATGTTTTTGCCAGTTGGGCCATTATGGTCGCAAAAGTTCACAACCAATCGGATTGCTGGGTTTGCGGTGAACTACCAACTTCGTCTGCTGTGGGTCTCCCTTGGAAACTATATCCAGCTAACCAAACTGCCTGGGCATGTTTAGAAGACTGGCGTAAGACATCAGGCAACATAGACCCCTTCTATCAATTCCTGAACAAATGTACTATCACTCTTCCATCCTATAGTCATACAAAAGAAAGATTATTTACTTTAGTGCGGGAGCAAGTCGATGCCCCACGTCCCCAAGGATATGCCATTTGGGATGGAGTGGGATGGCTGACTGCTGTGTCCATACAAATAATCCAAAAAGTACCATGGTGCATAGAAAGAAACACTACTAAGTACAGTAACAATATGGGGTGGCTTGCCCCACACATGTGTGCCCAAATTCTTAAGATAAATAATACTCTTTGGCTAGGAAAACAAAATAGCAATGTTCGTGCTGGGGCATTCCCCTCTCCTTGGGGATGGCTCTGGGCTTGTGGAGAACATGGTTGGCCATACTTACCTTATAATTGGACTGGACGTTGTACATGGGGCCAGCCATACATACCTAGCACCATTTACAAAACCCTACCCACTCGCCCCTCTAATTGGGACACTTTTTACAGCAGATACAACCGACTGCTCAGGACCAGGTGGTGGTTTTACCCTTTGACTTTTTTATCCCCTAAGGTAGTAACAACAGACATTGAGTGGCAAATAGAAGCTTTAGCCAAACACACAGCTGCAACCGTTAATGAAACTTCACATGCTGTTATTTTACATTCTGCTGAAACTGCTGAAATTCGTAAAGTGGTGTTGCAGAATCATATGGCCTTAGATATATTAACTGCTGCTCAGGGTGGGATTTGTGCTTTGATTTATACTGATTGTTGCATTTATATTCCTGATCATCAACATAATATTACTCAAGCTTTAGAAAAAGTTCAAGCCCATACTTCTGTTATTCAACAATCAAGTCTAGATCCTATTTCTGAATGGCTAAATTCCCTCTCCTCCTCTTGGCGAATATTTCTTTATAGTGTATTTGGTATTTTACTTTTCCTCCTTTTCTTTTGTTTTGGCCCATATTGCTGTTCTAGTTTATGGTTAGAAAGCTCCAACGCCCAGGTTCAAGGGATAAAGCGGAAGAGGGGCGTGTAGATTGTACGGGCCATTTAGGGGCGTTGGGGTAGGGTGGAGTGTCTGATATAGGCCTTCAAAACCCCTCAAAATGGCTCCTGTTCTATCATCCTAAACTTTGTACTCCCTTTCTTTGGCTTCCCCTTCCTATACATTCCTGAGGCAGCCAGCTTGCAGCTGCTGACACCAACACCTTATCAGGAGGGACAACCAACATAAAGAAGTTTATTGTCAGCAGAACATCTTGCAATACCTCTAGAGGGTGGCTGACCACCTACCTTGGCCAGCAGCCAGACTAGTCTGGTTACTTATGCCAACTCCCTAACAATGTCCCATACTAGTATAAATATTAGCAGGATGGGATGGGGGAGTGCTGACCTCAAGAGGTTGGACCAGCCTGTTGCCAGTGCTGCTTTCTTGTAAGATCTCCTAATAAACTCAATGCCTTTTTGACTGACTCTGGGTCGGTGTTTTGGTCTCTTTGCACAAAGTTATTCTGAGGCATTTGCCCTCTTGGGTCTGAACTCCAAGAGTGGCCTGTTTGGATTTGGAGCCTGCCCTACTGCACAGATGTGGCTGTAACCCCTCAACTGTATTTGAATCAATCAGATTGTCTTTTCTCAAAATTGGTTTATTCTAGGCTAAGCCAATTATTTTATTCACTTTGGAGCCTCTGATAGCAGGCTTTTGTCTCTGTAGTCTGTAGGGAATATATAGGAGTTTTCCTAAGCCCAATCCCATGATAACAGTGATCCATTTCAAATGATAGTTCCTCAGTAAAGGAATCAGGGACTATTGGACACTGACATCTGTGTTGTTATCTTATGCTGTTGAGTCAATTCTGACTCATAGTGACCCTGTAAGACAGAGTAGAACTGACCCATAGGGTTTCCTGGGCTGTAATCTTTATAAGGAGCCTTGGTGGTACAGTGGTTAAGTCCTCAGCTGCTAACTAAAAGGTCAGCAGTTTGAACCCATCAGCTGGTCTGCAGGAGAAAGATGTGGCAGTTGCTTCTGTAAAGAATTAGTCTTGGAAAACCCTATGGGGTAGTTCTACTTTGCCTTACTGGGTCACTATGAGACAGAATCTGAATCAGCTTGACAGCAGTGGGTTTGTTTTAATCTTTACGTGACTGGAGCAAATCATCAGGTCTTTTTTTCCATGTGTATCTGCTGGACAGGTTCAAACTGCCAACCTTTCCGTTAGCTGCCGAATGCTTAACCACTGCACCATCAGGGCTCCTTCTGATATCTCTAGTTCTGGCTTATTTTCAGTCTTTCCAGTGTGTTTCAAGGAGGTAAAGAGCCGCTATGTAAGCCAAAGAGTGCTGCGTTTTCCCTGTGGAGGCAGCAAGGGGAGTGAGAGCCAGGAGGCTGCATTCTACTTCCAGTTGGTCTTGGAGGAAGGAGAACCACACATAATGTCATGGGTATGAGGGCCACAAAGAAGCATGGAAAGAAAAGTGGGTCTCATCTGGAGGCTTGGGGGGAGGGCAGCTTGGGCTAGAGCCAGTAGGCCTGAGGGTAGCAACAGACTGGCGTGGGGGTTTGCAATAGTATTTGTATGAGCAATTCCGATCTCCTTGGAAACTTGGCATCACTCAGGTTCGGGGTCCTTTGTGCTTGTTACCCACCCACAAAAAGCTTCAAGCCACTCCCCCCGACTCCTTACCTGCATCTTTCTCTTCACCGTGTCAAAGGGGAATGAAAGGGTCTGGGTCACTGCAGCAGCTAGACAGACATTGACAAAGTTCTGGAGGATAGAGAATCGATCTCGGGGCCCATTCCAGATTTTCTCTAAGTTCATGTAAACGAGAAGGGAACCAGCAGAAAATGGAAGAGCACCTGCAAAACAAGGCCAGAAAGAGGCTGCCCATGTTTGGAGAACATAAAAGCTTGGGGAGAATCTAGGGAAAGTAAAAAGGAGGGGCCGTGGGTTTATTAGAATTAAAGATCACTCCAACTGAAGAACATAAGGGAACTTTCTTGGGTGATGATGATGATGATGTTATGTGCCATCGAATCGGACCCAACTCATAGTGACCCCTGGGGTTTCCAAGGCAGTATCACTACGGAAGTAGATTGCCCAACCTTTCTTCCAAGGAGTGGCTGGTGGGTTTGAACTGCCAGCCTTCTGGTTATCAGTCAAGTGCCTTAGGCACTATGCCACCAGAGCTCCCTGGATGATGATAATGTGTATATTTTGATAAAGGGGTTTGAGTCGTTTGTCAAAATGCATAAAATGGTTCACTAAAGATTTGGGCATTGTACTGTATGTAAGTTTCAATTAAAAATAACTATACACAAATATTACAATCTAGTTGATGATACATGCTAAAGGGTTTAGGTGTAAAGTGTACTGATATTTGCAGCTTAGTGAAATCATCAAAAAAATAAAATGGACTAATGAATGGAGAGGCCACTGGTGGTTCAGATAGGATTCAGATAGGATTCCTTCCATGTGGGAGACCTCAGTTCGATTCCTGGCCAATGCACTTCCTGTGCAGCCACCACCCATCTGTCAGTGAATGCCTGAGTGTTGCTATGCTGCTGAACCAGTTTCAGTAGAGCTTTCAGACTAAGACTAGGAAGAAAGGCCTGGCAATCTACTTTGAAACAGCCAGTGGAAATCTTACGTTTCACAGAGGTCTAATCCACAACCATTCATAGGGATGGCTCAGTACCAGATAGGGCTTCATTCTGTTGTACATGGGGTCACCATGAGCTGAGGGCCAATTTGATGGCAGCTGACAATAACAATGACTGGCTAGAGAAGAGAACAGATGGACAGATACATGATAAAGCAAATAGAGCAAACTGTTAATTGCAGGATCCAGGTGGTACGTATAGGGGTGTTGACTATTCTTTCAGCTTTATGTTTGAAATTAATAAAAATATCAATGTTGAAAAAAAATCACTCACATACACAAAAAAACCCAACACTTAGCGAGTAGCACCTAATCAAGTTTTGGAGGCTAGGAGGGAGTGATGTCTATCTGGGAAAGAAGCATGCGATGAAAACTGGGAAATGAGAGGCTGTCATAGTGAGGGAGGTTACTTGATGGCACCTTTGGTAATGACATGGTCCTATCAGGGCTCAGTGGATCCTACAGTGTGTAGCATAATCACCTTTCTAGGAAAAGATGGAGAACCAAGTAGTGCAGTAGGTGGTACTTTGACAAACTTCCAGAAATCCTAGGAGCTATCTTAAGTTTACACAGGGACTCAATTTCTCTTTCAAAATGAGATTTAAAAGAGGCGATGGCACAAGTGGGCTGCTTCACTTTAGAAAAGAGTAATCTTTATTTGATAAAGTTATTCAAAATTATTCTCCAACCCCTCTGTTTACCTTCATTCAGAAAGCATTTGTGGAGCTTCTGCTATGTACTTGCCCTACACCAGGTGCTAGGACTACAAAGAGAAGTAAGTTAATTGCTGTCTTCAAAATGTTCACTAGGGAAGGAGACGGCCAGGAAAAACAAATAGAACACCCCTGATTTGTGCCATAGTAGGGGGCTATACAAAGTTCTGTAGGTACAGGAGGAAGAGAGTGATTAATTTTGCCAGGAGGACTCAGGAATGACTTCACAGAAGTTTTTGAAGTGGGTCTTGAGGAATGAGTAGGAGTCTATCAGGCACCAAGAAAGTGGATAGGCACTCGTGGTAGAGGGAACAGTATGTGCAAAGGTGTGCAGTTTATGAAAGGAAGTGGTATTTCCAGGACATGCAAGTATATCTGTATGGCTAGAGCATGAGTGCTGGTAGGGACATGGCAGAAAATGAGGTAGGACAGGTTGGCAGGGCCAGGTCAGAAGGATCTGCTATGCCATAAGAAATCTGGGCTCTTCCCTGGAGCTCAGAGGGGGTCACTGGAGGTTTTTAAGGAAGGCAATGTAATGAGGGTCGTGAAATGATCAAACTGCATTTAGAAAAATCACCTCATGCAGGCAGCAGTGTACAGGAAGGACTGGAGCAGGAGAGACCCAAGACTGGGACCTGGTAGCAGCCTCTTGCAAGAATCTAGAGGAGAGAAGAGTGTGGCCAAAGGCAGAAGGCATAGGGATAGAGAAGGTGGGGATGGACTTGAGAGCTAAAGGGATCAAATTGACAGGACTTGGGGACTGTCTGTTGTGAGAATGGTGCAGGAGCAGGAATTGAAGTGATTCCTAGGTCCCTTCTACCTTGAGCCACTGAGTGAATGGAAGGTGGTGGTATTGTTCACCAGAGAATACAGGAGGAAGAGCAGGTTTGAGACAAGGACATGAGGTTTAGTCTGGAATTTGAACCTTTGTGGCACAAATGGTTAATGTGCTTGGCTTCTAACCAAAAGGTTGGTGTCCATCCAGAAGCACCTCAGAAGAAAGGCCTGGCAATCTACTTCTGAAAAGTCAGCCACTGGAAACCCTATAGGGCACAGTTCTACTCTGACATCATGGGGTTGCCATGAGGTAGAATCAATCAATGGCAACTGGTAATGAAAGTATCTAATAGCGGATAGACATTCACACTCTACTGGGAATTGGTATAAGTCAGTGGAATTACATTGCTAAGTTCTTCCACTCTCTATCTCTGTGACCTTGGACAAATCACTTAGCTTCCCTAAGCACCTACATCCTCATCTGTAAAATGAGGCTTAAATGAGACTGTTTACAAAGCATTTAGCAAAGTACCTGGCACATAGTAAGCACCCAAGAAATGTTAGTCATTGTTGTTATATAGAGATTGGGAGTCATCAGTGTATATTGATGCTTCTTTAAGCCATGAGCTTAGATGAGGGCATCTAGGAAGGGTATACAGGGGGAGAAGAAAGCTAAGGTGGAGGGTGAGAAGAAAGCTAAGGAAGGGAGTTCAAGGTGATATGTAGGGGGCAGGCAGCATCAGATGAACTAGGGGAGCCATAGGAGTCAGATGAGAAGGAGCTTTCAGAGAGGTGGGAAGATATCTAGGAGATGGTGGGCTCCTAGAAGTCAAGTTTCCATAAGAGAGGGTGATCAAGCTTATCAAATGCTGCAAGAAAGGTCAGATAAAGGATTGCATATTTACTGGATTCAGCAATTAGAGGGCCTCTGGTGACCTGTAGGACCTCTGGTGGCACAGTGGTTAAAACATTTGGCTGCTAATGAAGAAGTTGGTGGTTTGAACCTACAAGCCAGTCTGTAGGAGAAAATTGAGACAATCTGCTTCCATAAAGATTTACAGCCTTGGAAACCCTATGGGGAAGTTCTACTCTGTCTTATAGGGTCACTATGGGTCAGAATTGACTCAACGGCAGTGGGTTTGTTTTGGTGAGCTGTGTGTGTGTATAGCCCTGGCAAAGGGATACCTGCCCCCCCCCCCCAACACTGAAGACTTCTTCCTGCAGTCAGATAGGGAATGCTTAGGCTCATTTCCCTACCAGTTTGTGTTAAGCCACCTTCACTCTCTGCTTTAGTCCTCTCTCTGGGATTGAACTGGCCAAAGTTAGGACTGAGGTGTTATGGTTATGGAATAGAATGATGCTAATTGGCTTTATATGGATTGAATCCATACAAACTTGACCTCAGTAAAACTGATTTAACTGGTCACAAAGGTATATAATACATTTTTATATATCAAAGGACACAGCCTTTGCTTAGACAAGGTGAGAAGTTCCATCTTACCTAAAACAGTGAGGGAAACCCCTCGGTAAAGAGCCAGGAACCCTTCCTGTTGATAAATAGTAGAAAAAGCATGGAAGATGCCCTTATAAGGTGGCTCCAGCATGCTCTGCACAATCAGCCGGGTTTTGATGAGGTCTGTAGGATATGTCACAATGGTGGACACCATGCCTGCGAGACTTCCAGCCATGATGGAGCTCCATTGGGAAATATGGCCCAAGTCATCTGTGAACAGCATGACAAACCTGGGGGAAAAGGGGGGAAAAGCCCAAGGGGATCAATTACAGATTGGGCTAGAGTGTTCTACACTGCTTACTGCAACATTTCCCAGCATTTAAGGAGCTTTACAAAGTGAAAATTACTATGCTCATGTGTTAGGGTTAATTAAAAACAAATTTACTTCTACTATATCTATATAATGCTACTTAGCTGTATGGTTCCTGGATGGCGCAAACAATTTGTGCTCATCAACTAACCAAAACATGGCCAGTTTGAACTTGCCCAGTACTGTCACAGCACAAAGGCCTGGAGATCAGCTTCTGTAAAGAATACAGCCCGGGAAACTCTATGGAGCTCAGTTTTATTCTGACACACATGGGGTCACCATGAGTCAGAATCAACTTGATGGTAACAGGTTTGGATTTTCTTTGGTTTTAGTGAGCTCTAAGGAGTGAGCTCCGGTAGCATAGTGCCTAAGGCACTTGACTGCTAACCAGAAGGCTGGTTGTTCAGACCCACCAGCCACTCCTCAGAAGGAAAGTTGGGCAATCTACTTCCGTAGTGATACTGCCTCGGCAACCTAAGAAGTGCAATAAGGAGTGCATGAGGGTTGTATCCTTTCACCATACTTATTCAATCTGTATACTGAGCAAATAATCCGAGAAGCTGGACTATATGAGAAGAATGGGAATTCCAAAACACTTAATTGTGCTCATCAGGAACCTGTACATATACCAGAAGACTGTCATTTGAACAGAACAAGGGAACACTGCATGGTTTAAAATCAAGAAAGGAGTGCATCAGGTCATATCCTTTCACCATACTTATTCAATCTGTATGCTGAGCAGATAATCCAAGAAGCTGGACTATATGAAGAAGAATGTGCATCAGGATTGGAGGAAGACTCATTAACAAGCGATATGCAGACGATACAACCTTGCTTGCTGAAATTGAAGATGACTTGAAGCACATACTGATGAATATTAAAGACTACAGTCAGTACTATGGATTACACCTCAATATAAAGAAAACAAAAATCCTCACAACTGGACCAATAGGCAGCATCACATAAATGGAGAAAAGATTGAAGTTGTTGAAGATTCCATATTACTTGATTCCACAGTCAACACCAATGGAAGCAGCAGTCAAGACATCAGATGACGTATTGCACTGGGTGAATCTGTTGCAAAAGACCTCTTTAAAGTGCTGAAGAGCAAAGATGTCTCTTTGAAGACTAATCCAAGCAATGGTATTTTCAATTGCCTCATATGGATGTGAAAGCTGGACAATGAATAAGGAAGACCAAAGAAAAGTTGATGCTTTTGAGTTGTGGTGTTGAAGAATACTGAATACTGAAAGTACCATGGACTGTCAGAAGAATGAACAAATCTGTCCTAGAAGAAATGCAGCCAGAATCCTCACTGGAAGCAAGAATGGCTAGACTTTGTCTCACCTTCTTTGGTCATGTTGTCAGAAGGGACCATTCCCTGAAGAAGGATATCAGGCTGGGTAAAGTGGAGGGTCAGTAGAAAAGGGAAAGGCCCTCAATGAGATGGATTGACACAGTGGCTACAATCTTGGGCTCAGGCATAGTAGGAATTGTGAGGCTGATGAAGGATTGGGTGTTGTATTGTTGTACACAGGGTGGCCATGAGTTGGAGCCAACTTGATGGCACCTAACAACAACAATAAGAAGGAAGAGACGTCTAACTTTCTTTTTATTTGTTGTTATTGTTGTTAGGTGCTGTCAAGTCAGTTCTGACTCATACTGACCCTAAAGACAACAGAATGAATCACTTCCTGGTTGTGGTAGTTAAGGTTATGTGTCAACTTGGCTGGGCCTTGTCTTGAGTGGCTTGGCAGCTGGATACAGTGATTTCCCATGATGAGATTGGTAATCAACTCCATGGTGGAATCTACTGTGAGCAGCTGAGTAGCTGCCTTAGGGATGTGGTCTGCTTCCAGTACATAAAAAGAAGATTTGAGAAAGGTCTTGAGCTTTTTGGCACATCTGGATCCTGCATCTGGCTGAGTCTTCATCTCAGTGGCCTGTTAGGTTGTCTGCTGATCTTGAGACTATTTCTGGACTTAAACTAGTGGCCTGCTGTGTTTGATGATCTTGGGACTGTGGCATTTTCCTTGTTGCCCTTGTGTTTGTTAGTCTCAGCAGCCAGCAGCTGCCTGAGTTAAGAGACTCCTCCAGCTTCAATGGGCTGGGAACAAGAGACAGAGCTGAAGCCCAAGGTCGAGGAGTCTTCACTCAGCCCTTAGAGCATGTACTTTGAGCTTGGACTTTTAGCTTCCAAAACTGTAGGAGAATAAATTCCTGTTTGTTAAAGCCATCCATCTGTGGTATTTCTGTTAGCATGGCACTAGAAAACCAAAACCTATGTCATCCTCACAATCTTTGCTATGGTTGAGCCCACTGTTTGTAGTCACTGTGTCAATCTATCTCCCTGAAATCTTTCTCATTTCAATTTTAATGCTTTCTCCTTTTAGCTACCTGTCAACTTTGGCTTGCCTGTGAGGAGTAAATACACAGAAGTAGTTGGCAAACACTGAACTGGAATGTACACCATCAGTTCTGTTGAAATGTGAAAGGAATGAAGTTGTTTGAATTAATGATTTTGAGCAACCCTAATAATTAGACTTTAAAAATATTCTGGGTTAATGAGTATAAGAGAAGACGCTCCACCTCACTAGTTATCAGGGAAATGACAAATCAAAACAATAACAAGATACCATTGCCTAGCCAGCAGACTGGCAAAGATGAAAAAGTCTGATGGCATCAAGTGATGGTGAGGATGTGTGGAAACAGGAACTCTCACCAACTGCTGCTCAAGGGTACATTGGTATGGCCACCTTGCAGTATCTAGTAAAACAGACAAGACACGTACTTTTATCCCAGAAATTCCACTTCTAGGTGTATACCTTAGAGAAACTCTTGGATATGGTCATATGAAGACATATACAAGCATGTTAACTGCAACATTGCTTGTCAGTGTGAAAAAACTCAACACCAATAGAATAGATGAGTTGTGTAAGCAGCATCAGACTGTTGTGATCCATAGGGTTTTCACTGGCTAGTTTTCAGAAGTAGATCACCAGGCCTTTCTTCCTAGTCTGTCTTAGTCTAGAAGCTCGGCTGAAACTATTCCACATCAGAGCAACACCCAAGCTCTCACTGACAACTGGTGGCTGTACTTGAGGTGATAATCAGTTGTGGAGTCAAGCTGTGGGGTATGTACTATTTGATGCATCTGAAAACCATCCACTGTAGTAAGGTATTATTCATTTATTACAAGAACCTAGTTCCTAATAGGCTCTCCTGAGTAAAATCTTGGTCCTAAATGCAAGTAAGCAAATATATCAGCTGTGGAACAGTGAACAGAACCCTGGAGTAGGAGGTCAGAAGACCTGGTTCCAAGCTCTGGATCTCCCACTCATTGTGTCTGCAGACAAGTCATTTTAATCACTCTATCCCTTGAATATTCTGGATGTTTATGCTATGTTCAAATAAATGATCATTAACTCGTATCATGAGATCCATGATCATTGGCCATATCACTCAACTGCTTTGCAAATTCATAGGAAAGAGTAGAAATGAATCAGGGTAACAATGTACCAAAGTGTCAACTTTATGGAGGAACGATGGCACTGTGATTAATCAACCACTTTGCTTTCTGTCTAACTACACCTTGCCATTCACCGAAATATGTCCTTTTAGTTTCTGGGGGCAGGGGGATGATCTTGCAAGAAAAAAAATCATTAGTGAACCTAGCCTGGGGAACTACCTGTTCTTGCTTTCCCACCCATCTTCTATTCTCCTCTCCACTGTCACCAGCCTACTTTAGGTATCCTCAGCTGCCACATAGACTAGTGCAACATGTTCCTAACTGGTCTTGCCGCCACCTAGTCTTCTTCCTCTCTAGTCATCCTACTCTGCCAGCAGGTGACAATAATTCCTGTTGAATTGCTTTAATTACTGCGCTCCCCTGGCTCAAAAACCTCCCACAGTCAACCTTGCATACCAAGTGAAGTCCAAACTTCTTAACTTGGCTCTCCAAGATCCCATTACAACCAGCTTTTCCAGCTATGTTTACTACTCTGCTGTAGACACACCTCATGCTCTAGTATGCTGGATGTGTGCCTGCCTCTACGCCTTTGCTCAGTACATAACTGTAATCTCTCTCCCCATCTCTGCCCAGCAAACACCTACTCATTCTTCCAAGGCCAAACTCAAATATTTTTTTCTCCTCCATGAAGTCTGGGTGGTACAAATGGTTAAGTGCTGGGCTACTAATGGAAAGGTTGGAGGTTCTAAACCCACCCAGAGGCACCTTGGAAGAAAGCCTTGGTGATCGGCTTTGGAAAGGTCACAGCCTGGACAATCCATGAGACTTCCTTGAGTCTGAATCCACTGGAAGGCAAGTGGTTTGGTTTGGTTTTGTGACAAAGAGGGTGAAGTGAAGAGCAAGTGAGTCATTAAAACTTATAGAACTGTTTGTAGATTGCAGAACAGACGTTGCTAAGGGCAAAGGTGGGGTGGAGAGGGAAGACAGCCTTGACAGAAATTCCATAGTACCTTCCCTATCCAGAAGGAATTCCGTGTCATAGTGGTTAAAGCATTTGGCTACTAACCAAAAGGTTGGTGGTTTGAACCCACCAGCTGCTCTGTGGAAGATGAAGCAATCTGCTTCCATAAAGACACAGCCTTGGAAACCCTATGGGGCAGTTCTCAAAAAAAGAAAAAGAAAACCAGATTCACTGCCATCGAGTCAATTCTGAGTCCTATTGAGTTAATTTCAGCTCCTAGCAACCCCCATTGGGTTTCCAAGGCTGCAAATTTTTACAGAAGCAGATTGCCTCATCTTTCTTCCTCAGAGCAGCTGGTGGGTTTGAACTACCAGTCTTTTGATTAGCAGTCAACCACACACCACTAGAGCTCCTTATGGGGCAGTTCTGCTCTGTCTTAAAGGGTTGCTATGAGTTGTAACAGACTCAATGGCAGTGGGTTCCCTACGCAGAGGAAGGAAAGGTAACTTCCCTCTCAGGCATACTGCTGACCTAGAGGAGTCAGTGATAAGGATAATCCCATTGGCCTTGTCAGCTGCCAAGTGGGCTTTCCAGCTCTGGCCTCCAACGACAAGCATAGACGCAAACTCCTTTGACTCCTAGTTAATGCTAGTTTTCCTGATTGTGAGCTGTTTGACTAATTCCGAGCCAAGCCCAGTCTTCACAGTTGGCACTGTGCCCACTGAATGAGGAATACAGGCACCATCATCACCCCAAGTACAGAAACGTCTCCTCTTCTGGAACTTCCATCACTACCTTCTCCTTACAGGCTTGTTTCCAGTTAAAATGAAAAGGTCTCTATGCTTTGAGAGAAGCTTGAAGGCTCATAGTACATTTACATCTTTAGATCTTTTCCTAGGAATGTGGCCAGTGGCCAGGTAGGGGTGAGGCAGTAAACTGAGGGGACTGTTTGTAGCTTGAGGGGGGAGGCTGCAATCCCTATTGGACCCCAAATCAAGCTTCACTTAGGTGTTGGTGGAAGGTACAGGGGCATCCCTAAGTGGCACAAATGGTTAAGAGTGCCTCAGAAGAAAAGCCTGGTGATCTACTGAAAAATCAGGCATTGAAAACCCTACAGCGTGTGCTTCTATTCTGACACATGGGAGGTTGCCCCGAGTTGGAACTGACTGCATGACAACTGGTTTGGTTCGGTTATTTTGGGGAGTAGAGCTCTGGTGGTGCAGTGCCTGAGGCATCTGACTGCTAACCAGAAGGTTAGTGATTCAAACCCACCAGCCACTCTGTGGAAGGAAGCTGGGGCAATCTACTTCTCTAAAGATTTATTTCTCTAAAGATTTACTGCCTTGGAAACCCAATGAGGAGCTACAAGTTGGAATCAACTCAATGGAAGTGGGTTTTAGAGACTTGTGGCCTTTTTTATTTTTCTGCCAAGGGATTGGGCGCCCTTCCTCTAACAAGCATTTTCTTCTGGAGCCTTTAGTCACCCGGACACATACATACACACACCTTCATGTGGGTCTCTCAGGAGGGTCTCTCTCCTCCTAAGCCAGCCAACGCACATTTGTTTTTCCCAAGTTGGTGGAAGATGGGAATGGTTAGGTGCCATCTCTCTGGACAAGCTCACCTTTTCCCTAATTCAACCTTTTAGCTGGTCAGCCCAGCAGGTCTCTCTGGGCCAGGGTGGTGCTCCACAAAACCGCACCTGTTGTTGTTAGGTGCCGGCAAGTACATTTTCCAATGGATTTCAGACTCGTTGTTGTTGTTATGTGCTGTCGAGTTGGACCCTACTCATAGTGACCCCTCCTTGGGTTTCCGAGGCAGTATCACTACGCAAGTAGATTGCCCCATCTTCCTTCCCAGGAGTGGCTGGTGGCTTTGAACCGCCAGCCCTATAAGACAAATTAGAACTGCTCCATAGGGTTTTATAAGCTGTAATCTTTAGGAGAGCAGATCACCAGGTCTTTCTCTGGCCGAGCAGCTGGTGGGTGCCAAACGCCCACCTTTCAGTTAGACACCCAGCGCTTAACTGTTACACCACCAGAGCTCCTTCAAATTGCACCTGAACAACAACAGATAACTGAAAGCTGTTGCCATCAAGCGGATTCTGACCATAGAAATCCTATAGGACAGAGTAGAACTGCCCCATAGCGTTTCCAAGGCTGTAATCTTTATGGAATAGGAGCTTTGGTGTTGCAGTGGTTAAGTGCTTGACTGTTAACTAAAAGGTCGGTAGTTCGAACCCACCAGGGAGGGAGATGCGGCAATGTGCTTTACTAAAGATTACAGCCTTGGAAACCATAAGGGGGCAGTTCTACTCTGTCCTATAGGAATCAGAGTTTACTTGACAGCAACGGATTGGGTTTTGGTTTTGGAATCTTTACAGAAGCAGACTGCCACATCTTTCTCCCGTGGAGCCTATGGTGAGTTTGAACTGCCAACCTTTCAGTTCGCAGCCAAAAGCCCAATGAAACTTGCAAAATTTCAGGACTGCACTTTGGGAGCCAAACTGCTCCGAGGGGTTCCCACGTGATCCCGAAGGGTGCTGTGCCCCACTAAAGAGCTCTGCCCTAAGAAGCTGCGCAGCGTCCGCCTGCGGAACCCCTCGCGGAACCCGGCGCAGAACCCCGGCCCCGCCCGCCCGCGCTGGCTCTAGGCTCTTACTTGCGGTAGGCGGCCAGCTGCACGGCGCTGCAGGGGAAGAGGCGCAGGCACGCCACCCCGTTCCCCTTCCAGAGGGCCCGCGGCCCCTCGGCCCGCCACACCCAGAGCGCCGTGGCCCATGGTCCCCGGGCGTGGCCGCGCATGGCGCCGACCTGGGCCAGCAC